TCAGCCAGAAGAGTAAATGATAGCAGCAATGAGCTGTCATCCTCTGCACTGGCCAGCACTGCATGAGGTAAGGACACTGCTAGCACTTTGTATCTAATTCCTGGCCACAAAGTAGTAGCAAAATTAGAAGCAAATAAGCTTCTCTGCACTCCTTTCTGTTCTTCAAGTTTAATCTCTTCTGCCATTCCACTTTGAATATTGATTTCAGTCTCCTCCTTCCTTTCCCCCTTCCTACCTAGCTCCATATAAATTTCAGCAGGCTTCTCACTCACTAGTGGGCCCTCTGCACTATTGAGTACAGTTCAGGTCTCATATTTGCACAGCTTCACCTTCCCATTATCTTTTCAGACAATTACAATCTCTTCTTCCAAGTGCCCTGAATCTTGCTTTCGTCCTAGAAAGACATGCATCCCCTCAGGACCTTTAATTCTTCTCCTTATTAACTAGCTCTGATAAATCGCTGCTTGGAGACATTAGGCTCTGCGTATTTCTACAGCCAGGATCCTCTGCTGATTTACATCTTGTTGCAAAAGCAAAGTGGAAATTCAGGAAGTGGCACATTTCTCTGCTGCCAATAACCAGTAACACTCCTAAACTGAAAATTTAACAGATTGCAAAGAAGAATAAAAAAAAAAATAATTCTTCAGGAAGAAACAAATGCCTACATATATTTATTTAAATGTCAATTTAACTTGACAAGTTGTGCTAAAATCTTTCTGGTACTGTTGTGCAGATGTGGCCACTATCACAAGGCAAGAGCTGATCAATGTACATTACTTCTTCAGGAAAACTAAATAACTGGTGGAACAAAGCAAAGATAAGAAACTGGTGGTAAAGGTAAAGGCAGCTGTCTTCAAAGACAGCACTTAATCCAGGTTGGTGCCTGAAGTCTTACTTTCCTGAGAAAACACTGTGCTTCTAACTTCAAAGTTGGTCTCGCAGAACTGTTTCTCAAGATTCTTTTCATTTTGGAGAGAACCAAGTGTGTTCCGTGACTGCCTAAAAGGTAATGCCTAATAGCACTAGTATGAAGAGATCACAATAAAACTGATTACTCATTCAGCTGGTTCCAAGCTTACCTATACCAGTTGCCAAGCAGTTCTTTTCAGTCTCTGGTTTGATCAGAGAAAATGACTTTGTTGTCCTTTTAATTCCAACTGTAAAATAAGCTTGCAATTAGTTCTTTAAAGTTCAAGTGATTCTAATGAAATCTCTTATGACCAAAAATGCAAATTAATGCTTTAGTTCTACATCTTGATAGTTTAGGGAATTCAGATTGTTCTCTGTCCCAGATACACCAAAGGAAAGGAAACACGAACAAGACCAAAAACATAGGGCTAAACATACTAATATGTCACCAGAATGAGCAGTATTTTTATGCTTGCGCTAGTTAGCAAAGATTACAAAACAAAACAGTTTTTAAAGCCTTTGATGAAAAGAGTACGAAAACTTACATTATTTCTACAGAAGTGCGATTTATAGGCACTCATTCTTGAAAACATGCATGTTTCAGCTCTTCCTTTCTCATTAAGTCAAACAACAGTTAGATAATACAGCTGAAAACAATTTTGGTACCCATGTATTGAGTTTCCCAGCACATCAAGCTGTCAGCCTAACAATTAGTTTCATTTCAAATTAAACCTGACAGGCAGTTCCTTGATGAAAGAACATGTGTTAAATTAACTAAAACATCTCTTCTCTTTCGAAATACCTCCTTCACCAAGCACACAGCTTTTGCAATAGCCTCTTCCTACTAGGTGACTTTGTTCTTCCTGTCATCCCACAAATTCTTACCATGAACACAGCAAAGCTCTAACTTACCCTCAGGTGGTATACAAAATGAAGACTTCCCTTCCTCCATCCCTAAAGAAAGGGACATAAAATCTGGACTTAGGCTCCCCATAATTCACTACTGTAGCAACTAATAATTCATAAAAATAGAATGGCAGAGAGAACTTCTACATTAGTCTACTAAGGGAGGATGACACTATACTCTGAGGAGCTGATGCTTAACAAACAGTGTCCTCTATACTTCATTGTTTATCCTCAGCCAGATTCATTGAGGGCAATTATCTATGCCCTCAATGCTTTTGCAACTGAGATCTACACAGCTGCTCCAGGAAAGAGTGCAACAACGACCAAAGTAACACAATGAGGACAGTGGCCACTTAGCTACCAGAAATTAAGGACACTGAAGGACAGCTGTCTTCCCATATCTAAATGAAAAGAAACACTCAGAGAAATACTAGCAAAATTAGCCTTAAAGATTTCCTCTTTTTCATTTAGCATCAGCCAGTGTTCCCTTTCATTCACAGGCTCATCTTGCCTCAGGAAAAAGTGTCAGACACATAGCAGTTAGCAAATTACATAAGAATCTGATAAGGAAATGTATTCCTTCTATATCACATGTAAGTTGTTTTTGTTTTTTCTTTTAGGACAGTTGATACACAAATGATACTATAAATATTGCTATTTTAAGTCTTTTTAAACCCTGCAAAGCTCTCACTTGCAATGACATCACATTTCTCAAATGTGCTTCTGTCATTTTTTTGCTTGGACATCTAAAAATACAGTTATAAGCTACCCAGTCATCTGACATTTCACCAAACTAGGAAACAACATAATTAAAGTACTAACCGTAGATATAATCTGTCTCAACTCAGTCCTTACACTCTCTTAGACAGGAAGTTCCAGAGTATCTTACAAAGCTGATCTGTCTCTTTAACAGATTTGGAGTATGTCAGATTTTTACGACCTCCTCAAAGCACTCTTACAGCACAATGCATTGAAAAATATCAAGTTCAGCAGCAATATTTATTGCATGCCAGGTATTGAAGAATAAAACTATTTAGGATTTACAGACAAAACCAAAACTCCACATTTGCTTCATTAACTTAAGTAAGAACCAACACATCTGCACAGACTACTGTTAAACTTATTGACAAAGTCAACTTCTGCATCTTTCTGCACTGAAACTGCAGTGGATTCAACTTCTCAGTGATCTGTTATGGAGCACAAGGCAGCAAAGGAGGGACATTGGTACCTCAGAGTAGGAAGGCTAGCAGTTATCATCTGCAACTCCAAAAGCCTTAGAAGCTGCTTCCCTGGTTGGCCTGGAGAGTGAACACAGGGCTCAAAAACATCAATAACCTCAGGCAACAAACTCTTCCTTGCAGGTGGATGCAAGGGGAAGAGGATGATTCGCTTTCTGGCTGCAGCCTAGATTTGAGTAATTTTATCTGTTAACTAGCACAAAATTGTGTTAGCCCATGACTAGGGCTCAAAGGTTAAAGCTTCTAACAAAGGCAGAGCTCTTGCTACAGAACAGAGAGATTCAAGTATTTTACCAGTTGTCTTACCCTGCTCACAGCACGCTATTTCTAACTCCATCTTTCTTTCTTTTCCTACTACCATACCAGAGACAGGAATCTAGCAAAGATGGCAAGGTACCACATGAACATTTCAGACAGTAATTAGACTGCAAGCCTCTCAGAAGTGTTACCATGTGTGAGGCAATACAGAGACTACAGTGCACTTGAAGGAATCTTTATCAGTTTCTCACATTGCTGTGATGCATGATCATAAAAAAATTCTCTACACATAGATCAGTTTGCTAGGAGACCTACCAAAAAAACTTCAGTCATTTCTTTCTAGCTTATCTGAGAATTGACACGTGTTCAATATTTTTATGTTCACTGGATATTTGTCTTGTGTTATGGAAGAGGGTAAATAAAAGCATCGCAAATCACCTCTCTACCTGATTTACTTCTGTTAGATCCTTCTTAATTTCATAGTATTACAGGATAGACTGCAAGGAACTTGCAGCAGAAGGTTGGGCTGGTCACTTCCAAGTGCTGTGACATTACTATGACTTGACCTGTCAATTTTTGCATACCTTCAAGAAGGATTCTGAAAATCTCCAGACATCTTCAGGGCCCAGACACCATCATCATTACAGATTATCTTTTTTCTCCCCTTACACCTAGTCAGATTTTTCCTTTGCTGCCATTTGTAATCCTTGCCTCTCACTGTGGACTGCTGGGAAAAGTCCACCCCCATCTTCTCTACAATCACTCATTAAGCTGTTTACTTAACAGATAATGCAGTGATCAGGCTCTGTAAAAGGGAGAGCCTTTGCCCATGAAGGCTGTTTCACATGCACTTTGAAAATATTGGTACAAGATACCAATTTGTTTCAACCAACTTTTCTGTTTGTTTTGTTTTTACAACCTTTGTTAGTGAAATTTTTGAGTATAATCACAGAATATCCCAAGTTGGAAGGGACCTACAAGGATCATAGAGTCCAACTCCTGGCTCCACACAGCACCACCCAAAAATCAGACCATGTGTCTGAGAGCACTGTCCAAATGTTTCTTGAACTCCAGCAGGCTCAGTGCTGTGCCCACTGCCCTGGGCAGCCTGTTCTAGTTCCTGATCGCCCTCTGTGTGCAGACCCTTTCCCTAACCCCCAGCCTGACCCTCCCCTGTCCCAGCTCCACGCTGTCCCCTCGGGTCCTGTCGCTGTCCCCAGAGAGCAGAGCTCAGCGCCTGCCCCTCCGCTCCCCTCGTGAGGGAGCTGCAGGCCACCCTAGGCCCAGCTGGCTGACCTCTGCTCCCAGGCAGACCCCAGCCCTGACCCACCACCTCGCCTGGCTGCGATGGGAGCTGCCCCAGGACCCCCTGTCCCTGCTGTGGGTCTGGGGGCACTGCCTTGCTGCACCGTGGCAGCTCCAGGCCAGGTATGCACTTTGAACTGGGAGGTTTTGGCTTGGTTCCCAGCACGCAGTATGAGCCACATAACAAGCAGGCTTCCAGCACTTGCTTGGCTAGCACTCCCAGAGGTAAGAGGCCAAACGTCTTCAGAATGCAATTCTTGCCTCAGGAAATGCTTCTATTGCCCTAGCTTAAAAAGATTTACTTTCTAACTGTCTGTTACTTTACTTTCTGTTGGAAAGGTGTCTCTGGTCCCAACTACTATGTGAGTAAGTGATGGACATCAGTTCTGAAAAGTTTTAAGATTGTCTGTAATTACTAGTTCACGAGTGCTACCACAGAAGTCAATGTTTACTCTGCCAATCAAATAGGAACACTTTGAGGACACTGTCTCTAAAACATCATTTCCAAATTATTTCAAAATGCCTCGCAGCAGATGCACCAGAGACTTGCACCCTAAATGAGAATTATCACACCAGGAGTGCAGTAAGGAGGACACACAGAGAAGCTCATTACCGAGTAGCAAGTCATGAACATCAAGTACCAAACACTGAATTACAGCAACTGTATTCCACATACAGATTTTTAAGGTTTCTTCACATACACTGGCATTTCATCTATTCCAACAATTTACTTTACGGAAATCAAAGTACACGAAGGAGTACAGAACCAAATTAAACTTCTAGATCAAAAACACCCATGCCTTGACATCTATCCAAAGACCAACTAGCTTCACTGCAGGATTTATTTGCAGAGACTATGCTAGTTAGACTAACGTGATACTTAAGTTTCTCATCTATATTTATCAGGTTTTCTCAGTCTTCAACTGAAAAACAGACAAATCTGTACAAAACCTCTGCCAGATTTTTTTTTTCCAGCTACTCTAACATTTCCTTCCTTTTCCATATTTCAAAAGCTAAAACGTGATGTTAGGGTTTTTTTTGTTCTCTTTTTAATCAAGTTGTGTTTGGCAGATCATGAATCATCCACCAACACTGCAACTCATACCTCCCTTCATCTTAAAAAAGAAGAAATCAAACGAAATTGTATAAATTGAGGTTCCTATTCCCTTTGCTTTAATGATCATTTTCATTCTTCTCTCTTTTCTGATACAAAAGCTCAGTCTGCATGTGACTGTAGTCTGAAAAAAGAAGGAAAGAATTAATATTAAATTTATGCTGCAGATTAAAGATAATGGAAACAAATCTAAATAAAGCCTAGATGAGTTAAGGTGCTGACCCATGTATTGATGTGCCAAAACTGAAGTCAAGGAAGCACTCACTGGCAACCAAACCTAAAGTTTAAGAAGAAGAAAAAAAACTTGTATATTGTTTTGTATTAAAGAAAACTCACAGCATCTAAACCTAGAGACTATGTCTTAGAATTTGGTCATACACCACAGCAACGAAAGCATCTCCTCTTTCAATGCATTAGCAGTCCTAGGCTTACAGTACTGCATATATGCTAAGGAATGAATCCCAAAGAAACTCGAACTCATTAGAATTAAGATTTATGTGAATCTTGCTTAAGTATTTTTTGCTAGTTGCAGTTTAACAGGATGCCTCTGACCAAACTGCAATCGTATAAATATTACAATAAAGTCAGAAGGCAGCAAGTCTACTGCAGCGAACGCCTTCCTGGCAAGTAATCTGCTGCAAGGGAACAGCTAGCTCTATCAACTGCAACAGCAGACTAAATAAAACTCTGATGATATAGCAAGTGTTTTCAATGTTTTCTTTAATTCTCTCATGCCTTTCTGGCTTCTGGTACCAGTGTCCTGGAAGCAGCTGAGTGAAATTCCTTTCTGTTTTGCCCAATGACAGTTTTTTTTTTTCTTTTTTTTAAAAAAGATAAATCTTAAGTTTATTTTAATGCTCAACTTCTTCAGCATTCAGTGCCTGACACAGTTGAGGCAGAAGAAACTTAACAAGGGAGAGGAAGGTGCTACTTGAAAAACTAGAGCCACCCTTGGCACACATAGTGTCAGTCACACCTCCTACTCATTTTTAGCTCATGGCAATTTCACTTCAAACATAGGTTTTTGATTCTAAATAAATGAATAGCATCTGGTCCTTTGGTAGCTTTTTCTTCATAGAAATTCATACCTTTAGCTTCAGAAAGGCCCCCAGAGTTGCCGAGTATTTAAATAACAACAATTTGGGCTTAGTTGGCATAATGAAAAACATTTGATTATACTGTTGGGTTTGGAGATTCCTGTGTGTTATAATGCCTATGTAATACCTCTTTCAACATTGTTTTCTGCCTTCAAATTAGCAGAGTGACCTTCATTCCATGTATTACACTACTTTGGAAAGAAACCAAGAGAAAAGCACAATGCAAAATAACTGCTAAAGTTATTGGCTTAAGGTATTTTACTTTTTGTACAGACACAGTGTCGTGCTAAATAAGCTATGTCACTCAAGGCACTACTTCCCTTCAGATCATTTTACTCCTGCAGATGACTAAGCTTTTCTCACTTTCTTCATCACACAGAATACAAATCACAGGCTTTCATTCTTCTAAAATCATTTTCTTATACCAGCTTGGCTGACGATTCAACTCAGCTTTCTAGCTAATTTCATAAGACAACATATGTTTCTTTGGGACTGAACCCTGCTCTCACTGAGATGGATGGTGTATCTTCTTATTCACTTTGAGGGGGGGAACATCAGATCTTTTCTTAGTTCTTTTCACACATGCACACAGTACTTGGTGAATATGCAAAGAGCTATCCATATAATACCATAACTAGCACTTACATTGATGGATTTATCAACTTACTGCTTCAAGCATCAAGAAATACTGGAAGCACGCAACAGTGTTTCAGAAGACTCATATCTTCCTGTAAGAGAATGCTTCATTCATAATCTCGTTTAGCTTCTCTTCCATTCCCAACATGCACAGATGTTTTCACTGAATCAGAGATATTCACTAACTCTTTTCTTGCTTTACGGAAGTTCTGCATTTAAAAATCAGTATTATGTATGCTATTTTTGCATTTATAGTTGAATCTATAACCATACATGCACTTGATAAGGTTCAACACAGGTCATGGTAATTATTTTGCTACTTCTCCTAGTGACTTGTCATCTGGAGAAGGTATTGTCCTGAAACAATTGCATGAACATTGCTAATACTGTTTTTGTTTTCATAATTAAACAAATTATGCATGGATTAACAGATGCTCAAGCCTAATAAAGTTAATCATAAGCACTATGCAAAAGATTAAGACATGAAAATGAAGAAGGAGGTGGGAAAATATGTTGAGAGCAGTACCACTTATGGAAAGGAGAAGAATGTGATGTGTAAGAAGCTGTTCTCTTTACTGTGAAGCGAATTTAAGACCAAAGTAGAGATGAAGAGGATGGGGGGATCAAAACAAAACAACATAAAGTACAATCTTTTGTGAAAAGGAAGATGTTTTTGAGAAGCAGAAAGCTACTTTCCCTCACTGTGCTAAAATGTTCTATTCTCTGCTTAATAATATCACAAAATTATAGTTGCAGATTTTTGCAGCCCTTTTGCAGCCGAACTTCCTTCTACTCTTTGGAATATTTAACCAAGTAAAGAAAAAGTTCAAGTCACAGCAAACTCTTTTATGAAAAGGAGATAATGCCCAACGTTTGCTGAAGCTTGCATCTTTCCCAGAAACTGCAAGCATGGCATTTGCAGCCAGGTTGTGTTTTCCATTGCATTATCCCCAGGCATTTCATTCTCTAAGGCTAACTGCCTCCAAATTCCATATGTAAGTAATCAGAGCTAAAAGACCAAAGACATGAATAAAATCCTCAGGAGTCATATCCACTGTACCCATACAGTTAATTCAAATAGTTTTTTGGTTTTTTGCTTGACCATGTGAAAACTCACTCTTTGTACATGAACTTTGTATCAAGCCAACCTAGCTTGCAGAGGTAACAGAATGAGGCCCCCAAAAGATCAGGAAAAAAAGTGGTAAAAGAAATGTGAATACTGTCAAAGAAAAGAATCTGCATGTAGATGACTAATGCTTGTACACACTATCAATTTACTCCTTCAGAGCTGCCTCCACTAGCACAGTACCACAAGGGGCCTCTTAAGGCAACAAGGTGGCACTGTTGCCAGAAAAGGAGTCCCAGTCAATCCTCAACCTACCTAGAGATTTTCCCCTCAAAAAATTAAAGCAGATGATAGAGCCTGTCCTACTCCATCTCTTAAAAAAAAAAATAAAAATGTTTTGAATACTCACTACACTAAATCAATGCCCATTTTTCCAACGTTTTGGTTTTATAGATATAGGAACATAAAGCTTGTTCAATTGTATGTTGGTGAACTAAATGAGACAAACGCTAATGCACTATTCATTCTGAGCATGTGCAGCAGTGCTACACGTTCACAGGGCTCTGGTTTCTGTGCTTAACAAGCTGTAAATTCTCTCTCTCTTTTTTTTTTTTTAGTTAGAACTTCCAAGGTTTCCTTCTGTCAAGCATCTCTGTCTCTAACACAGACAATATTAGCACAAATTGGACTGAAACATCTTCACCCATGATGTTAATTACCTCCTACAAGCCAGTGCAAGTGAACTGAACACCAGATGTCATTTCCAGTTCCTGGCTACGGTGAATGGCAGCTGCTTCAAAACTGAAGGGTCAAGACTTAGACTCTACCGCTCCTGCCCCAGTTAAAATAACCAGAAAAGGGTGAAGTAACAAGGAACAGAAATAATTTCCAGCATTTCCATATTTAGGGTGTAAAGAAGTATACACGTCTGCTCTAATGGCTTAGTTGTATAATCTTTTTTTTTTTTCTGTCAGAAGTTTGCATAACAAGGGACACTACATGGCAAAAAAAAATAAATATTTCAGTGACAGCAGACTCTTCAGTGGCAAATGAAAAATGGAAATATTGCCTGCAGCTTACTTCTTGTCAGTTACAAGAAGGCTAAGTGAGGGAAAGGAAAAACAAATTGATTTCTGAATGGAAGTATAAAGCCACAGCCTAGACTTAAAAGATTTCCACTGCACTTCTGGAAGAAAAAAAAAGCATGTGTAGCTTAACTAGAATATTCAGGCTTAAATAACAGAGATACCTGAAGAATGACAGGGACCTTCAACAATTCCTCTCTCACTGTGAAACTGAGTAAGAACAGAGACAGGCTCTCTGACATATGGTCACCCATATGCTTCATTAGCATGGTTTTGCTATTGAGTCCCCACGTTCTAGATTATCCTCTTCAATTTTTCTTGTTCTGTTGCACAATAAATACAGCCAAGGCCAATACCCAGATCCTAAATTGAATTAAAATCCAGGCTGCATAATTTATTCTTTCCATAGTTCAGGGGAAAGTCAGACGTTATGCTAGATTCACAATTTCCAGGTAAGCTGAAGATACAAACCACATACAATTTACGTATGTATACTGAAATACCACTACTGCATTTATATTCAGTAATTAGATCCCTGTAATTACCCTGGTTTGTATTAGAAATACAATAAAAGAAAAGGAAACACTCTTTAGTCATGAACGCCTTTGCAGTTTATCCTGTTTGTTACAGAATAAAATGAACCAGATTTGCTTTACTTTTTCTGAAACCATCCAGATACCAATATATGATTATAGTTTTTTCTTCCTGAAGTCCTGGAGTGACAGTTAAATGAAGCTGTTGTGCAAAAACTGAACGAGTAATTCTTACTTCAAGTTATCTGCTTTTCAGTATTTATTATGGCTACAGGCAGATTTTGGCACGGGACTGAGCACGATGTTACAAATCTCAGTTAAACATGCATTCTAATGAAGTCCTGAATTACGAGCAGCCTATTTGTTCCAAATGACAAACAGTCCTGAAAAATGACGGTTTCTACTCATAACCCTACTGCTAATTGTTTCACCTCCATCCAGTAGCACAAAACTTTCCAGCTGTATGTAATCAGTATGACTGTCAATCAAAACTGCAACCATATCTGGTTGCATTTTTTTTTTTTTTAAAAAGAGTCAATGCAAGTCTTAAGCAATTACAGAAACACAAGAAAAACAATAAATGATCACACCAAAGTTCATCCAGACAGTACACTATCTCCAACCAAGCTAATCAAAATCATTGATTTTGATCAGTGATCAAAAATCACTGTTGTCCTAAAGAACATGTGGGCCACAGACCTCACTCACCCTCACATTCAAGTTCACTGCTGACATCTTGACCACAGTGGTGCCACTGGTTTTGGATGCCATGAACACATGATTTTTAGTTTACCTAAATCCAGCAATGCAACTCTTCCCTTCCTTCACTGTGCTCGCTCTTCTCCATATAAAAAGATCCAGCGATTCCTCTAAGTAGAACTTTATTTATAGCAGACATATAAAGACATATAAAAATACTTCCATTACCATTCAAGGCTGAGAATTGTCTTGTAGGAAGAGTTTAAAATTAGTATAAGATCGTCTTACCATATATTGTTTTAAGGAATCGCAAACCGCCACGATGACAAGTCAACCTACCATAAAATGGCAGGTTGTCATAACATTTTTATTTTAGAAACCAGGACCGAATAGAATACTTTGCAAAGTAAATTACAGTAACTGGATTGCAAGGTGTTAAGTAACTAAGAAAAAGAATTATTTAAGATCTACATGGTGAATGTTATTTTAAAGGCATCTTTGTCACTGCACTGTTAGTTACTTCAGCTACCTGTATCAGCTTTGCTTATATCAATGCTAGGAACACGAACCCAATGCCTTATTCTGCAAAAATACTGCAAAAACAATGTTCTCTGTCTCAAAAGCAACAAGTACTTTTATGAGCTCTAGCTGCGAAAGCTTTCTTACTCAGCAACTATCTAGATTCCCATGCTGATGTGCAACCTCAGACAGGACACATTCTGAGAGTTCCCAGGGAATTTTGAAAGAATTTGAAATCTTCTGCTGCAATTTATTGCCATTTCCACTAATCTGTCCTCAACTAAGCCTACAGTGAGATTAAAATAATCACTAGGTCATCTTAGCTTCCCTCTTAACACACACAAATTGCTCCCGTGTTTTATTATTTTTTGTTGTCAGCTGACAGTATCACCTAGTAAGAACTGCTTGAAGGTCTACTGTTTCTTTTGACTTTGAATGCAACAGGGAGCACAGATTGCATCATACCAAAAATACTACCTTAAAATTGTTGTCTTAAAATGGCAGACTGAAAACGTAACAGGAGAAAGTTAAACATCTGCTCTCCTCCTCTGCTTAGCAAGGAGACATAAAATACCAGCTAGCAGTGACCAAAAGCTACACTGATGCCAGAGAAACCAGAACAGAAGGCTAGTGGCTTCTTCTACCCCTGCTGATAAACCTCTCTCCATTGGCATCAGAAATACAAATGTTTTAGAACATCACCATGGATTGCCATGAGCAGTCAGAGAAACTCTAAGGGACTGCACCTCCCAAAATGAAAGCAGAGGGCACACTGCAACCACGTAATTTAAAATTGGCCAACTGCTTTATGTACTATGGCCCATGGAATTTGCTTTTTCTGCCTATAGCTTTGATTTAAATCAAAGAAAGGAAATTCATACCAAAGCTGTTTGTATTAAAACACATGCTCAAGAATAATTGTATGCATATGAGTGCCTAAGGGACAGATAAAGGATTATCTACAAGAAAACCAAAGCAAAAAGCAGAGTCTAAGCGTGTATTTTGACAATGAATCGATTGGATGGCTAAAGCAATGGATTTTGAGGTGCAACAGCTAACTATACCCTACTTAATGAAGTAGCTCCAGAAATCATTCAACTTTCTACTCTCCTTTAGGCACAAAAATTGCTCCTGGACCAGCTTTACGGTATTAATAGGGGGCATGTATTTGTTAACATTTTATTTAAGACCATGGACTTCCCCTCCTAATCATTCTGTTGGCTGTGCTCTGTTTTGCATCGTGGATTGATCTGGGGGCACCTGACCTGGACTTGCTGCAGAGAAAGCTGAACTCCAAGGACACACCTCATACGTGCCAGCTATTATTGGGCATCTGGAGCAGAGAACCAGGCTAACTAATCTCCAGAACACACATTTGTGAACATTAAGTTCCCAGCACTGTTTCTTTCTGTAGATCTTTTCCCTCTGTAGATCTGCTTTTACTGTGCCACAGTACTTGCCAGACCAGGCACAGCCAAATATATCAAGGTAAAACTTTAACTTTTCCCTACACTGTTTGACTGAGAGACGAAAGTGATAAACTTGTTTGAAGAAATGAATAAAGCAGATAGCTATGCTGTACTACAGGTTTAGATCTGTGAGCAGCCGTAAAAAGTCCTCTCATTTGGATCCTAATGAGATCGCCTCAACACAACATCAGCATGCCAAGAAAAAGGAAGAAATGGCAGGTATAAAACATACCCTAAATAAAAGCATGCATTCCCAAATTTAACTACAAAATACAATCTCTTCCTTTGGACAAAACTCAACTGCAATACCAACTCTGTTGCAACTTAAGTTCCACTAAGCAGAATTACAAGATGACTAATTTGGTTAAAGTTTAGTTTGCATTTAAATATATAAATTAAAATTACTTTCTCTTTCACATAAACATGTCACTTCTTTCCTATTCACATTCTGATTTAGTAAATAAATTAGTTTTATTCACAGACATTTTCACAACGCCTGTTTTTCCTTACCATTGTTTTAGATGTTAAATAAGCATTATGTAAGTCTGCCTACTTACCAAAGTACAAGAATAGCTACGCTTCTTTTTTTTTTTTTCGCCTTGAGCAAATTGCAAGGACAAAGCAATGCTAGTACATAAGGATTTGGGGTAAATATATTATTGGCTACAAAGAAAAACAATAAGCCAAGGAAAACAGAAAAAAAAAAAAAAGAAAGCTTTTGTATAAACGCATAGCTTAGTTCGTCAAACCTTTCCTGCCTTCATTTCTACTTAGATTTGCCGTGTAGCAGCTGTCTGTCTTGGTATCCTCCAGCACCAAAAGTGAAATTACCATATAAATAAAAGTGGCTAATATTAATAACTTTATTTTTACTTGTCTTTGACTACCATATTGTCAAATATCTCTCAGAAAAGGGATTGTGAACTGAACAGCAGAAGGAATCAACAAGCACATGGCAAGAAGACTTCACGTGTGGGATATGTAGGCTGACATTCTAATGCTTGTGTCCAAATGAACCCAGACCATTTCTGCACAGTCTGAAATGATGTTCAGAGATTTTTAGGAAAGTTGATGTCTTTCTTTAACTGCATTTTTTTCCCTCTATCCTTCTCTTACCTGACAGAATCATATAAAGGAGGCTTGACAAGGGAAAAATACCTAAATTCCCCAAATATCTCAAAAGAACATACAACTTGCTACTGCTTGAAATCGATTTTGATACCAGCCATCCGTACCATTTGTTTACTATCTGCAAGGAAAAACTGCTGATAACGTTCAAGGTGATGGAAATTAGCTGCAGCATATGCACGACAACAAAATGCTCACCTGCTGGTTTCCCAGTCTTGGTCATCCTTATCTTTTTCTTCTTTGGCATCAGAATTGTGTGGGTGTTTCTGCACAATCCGCATCCCCCCTGCTTTCACTGGAAAAAAAGTAATGGAGAAAGACACAACAAGTCTCAGTCAAACCAGTGTATGCAAAGAACAACACTTTTAAGGGTGACACATCCCCCTCACACACACTGTATTTTGCACAGTAATTTAATAATAATCACAGTTTGAGAAAGGGGCCCAAGCTGTTTAGAAGTGGCAAATCTAAGGAGCAGCTACTTCAGGCCTGTATCTGCCATCTCCACTCATCCTGAGAGGCAGCAGCTCCTTTTATCACCCGCTTTCAACACTGTTTTAGAAAATTCAACTCCATTTTAACTCTTCCCCCCACCTCTGTTAACTTGTAGCAATCAGAAGAAACCAAGGTGATGGCTTGCAAAACACTACACAAAAGTCCACAAACTCGGAAGTTAAATACCCTCATAAAACAAGAAGGGCTGAGGAATCTCACTTGTCATTTCAAGTTAAAACCTACAGCTATAATATAGTCATATTTTGTAAACAGCACAGTAAAAAGCAAAGCTTAGGAGGCCTGCTAACTTGCATTTAGAACAGAGCTTTTAATTTTGCAGAACAATTACCACATTTCAGATCCTTGTCATGATTTAGTTTTAGAAATGATGCAAACACAAAAGAATCTCTCTGAGACACAAAACAAGAAGCGAAAGCAAATCCACTGATGTTCGTCATCTATCCACGGTAATGCTTACATTTGAAATAGGAGCTAAACCCAGACTTTAATGCTGCAGCTACTAAGTGGAGCAACAGGCAGGATGGTTTTGACCTGCTTTCTGTTTTAATACTGCAGGGTTTTGTGTGCTTCAGCTATTGCTATAGGTGCTTACAGTGAAACACGGGATGTATGAGGCATCTTGGTAGCTAACTGGAAGAGTTACAACACCGCAACCAGTAACCAGCCAGAAAACCCCTTGGGCAGCCAAAAGTCAATGAGAACACCTACAGATGTGCTGGTTTGTGCTGGAAAGGCCACGGGCATCACACAGTGTCACGGCACAGATGTGGGTGACTGAAAAGGAGCTGAAGCAGCTTTTCTGTGTGGTTAGGGGAGGCTGGGACTTCTGACAGCCCTTTTGTACCCAGCCACAGAGAGATTAAGGCACCTCACAACCACTCAATACCAATCCCTGAAGCCTAGAAGCAAGTGAAGTTCTTAGTTTTTAACTTAGTTTTTCAGAGCTGGGTGGAACAGACACTCCTGGGCACAGGTTTCGCAGCCTGCTTCAGGGAAGGAAACAAAGGGAAAGTGACCTGCCCATAAGAAGAACTGCAAGTTTAGTCCCTGGATTTGTTAAAGAGGTTTTTAAGCTTTGTGATATGTGAAAGACAGAATTCTGATTTGATAAAGGACCTTAAAGACAAGCAATTAACAGAGGGAAAAAAAAACACAACTTCTATAAACCATAAAAATTATGGCATTATCATGCATTGAAAAAAAAACCACAAAAACCACAAAACAAAACAAACACACAACATATTAACTGCTTTTGTATTCTCTCCAGCATAAAACCTACAATACTTAAATTTGTGAAATGGTTGACATGGCACAGGGAAAGGCAGAAAGATGAGGTATCAAATAAATGTAACTTCAGAGATGGCGCAAAAATAAAAATCCCTATTATTTTTTCCTGATGCAAAGTCCTTATGCATTCAAGTTGGCTCATAAAAGCAAACACTGAATTCTGTTGAGTGCTGTCCTGTTCTAATGCCTCCATTTAACTTAATCGAAGTGCTTGATACATCCACAAGCTAGAATAAGAGCAAGACTGATCAGCTAAATAGCTGACACTGTATGCCACATCTGAGACAGAAATAAACTACATCTAAACACTTATGCTTTTACAGATCCAAGTATTCATCTGCAGTCTGTAGAAAACCTATCAATTGAACTAAAAAGAGTACAAGGCTATGGAAATGATTTATTTTTAATCTACAACCTGATGGGACAGCATCAATCCGCAAAAAAAGACCTAAAATCCTTACTTGCAGCACTTGTTTTACTTTACCTTCGATATTTTTTTATTAGCAGTAATTTATAGACTCAAAGCATTGCACAATCACTTCCTCTTAGCTCAATTTAAAACCACTTTTTTTGTGGAAGATGCTATCGCCCATCTGCCAGGTCACAAAACAGCATTTCCAGTCAACACCTGCACGCTCCCCCTCTGCAGCTTTTCACCATCTAACAGAGAATTAAGGGAAACAACACCCAAGGACTTAGCACAAACTTAGCTGGCCAAAATCCCTCCCTGCCTACATAATCTATCATCAGGCCACCAGTCTCTTGTTTTTGCTATTTGTCACTCACAAGGACATCCAGCTAACACCATCAGATTTTTCTGCAGATAGAGTTATGAAGGATTAAAAAACAAATAAGCAGACGATTAAAAGGCATGATAGCGAGTGACTAGTGCAACAGGTTTGGGTCTCTTTCCCCCTCACTAATACCCACTGACATAGTCATCTAGAAGCACATTGGTGCATAATTGAATGATCTTCAGTAACCCAGGGTTACTGTGCAAATCTGGAAACTAAAAGAAGAATCCAGCTAACAAGTACAGTAATAATCTGAATGTCTGAGAACAAAAGTGAAATATTTATATAAACATCCTGTACGTGGAGCTGAGGTGCACCTATGCCACCCAAGATACAATACAGCCATACCCAATCTGGTTTCAAAAGACCCCGCCTCAGAAGAGAAAGAATCTCTTTGCAACATAAATCACTTCTGTTTTCAACAGATTTCAACCCAGCTACATGTCAGTGTTGGGCAGAAAAGAAATGATCATATGCACCAACCTAAAGTAAAAAATGCTCCATTTGTGAGACTTTCTTGGATTAAGAGGATTCATCTATTTCTTATTTGCCTGGTTTTTACCTTATAGCTTCACAGATGCTTACTACAGTCATTTTGTTGCTTAAACGTTATTCTTAAGAGAACATGAGCTCAGATTTTCCTACAGCAAATCCTTCACGGAGCGGAAAAAGGATTTAAATAACTGAGAAATCACCTTCCAAAACACTGCCAAAAATAAATGCCCAAAACAGGAAGGTGTCAACAATTGGACTGGGGGTGGGAAGAAGCCAGTTCTCGCACTGAAGATGGGAACTCACGGGCCTCAGGCTGCAGTTACCGAGGGGGATCCTGGCAAGGGCAGGAGCCCAGGGAGCAGCTGCAGGTGGTGTGGGGAGCTGATGAGAAGCCACCAGCTCCTAAGGTGAGAAATAAAGAGGGGATCAGCTACTGGCAACAGCAGAAGTCTGTTTGCCTAGTTGCTGGATGACAGCCTAGCTTTGGTTATTAGCTATTGCTTGCCTTGTTTGCTTTGAGGGGCAGACAGGAGCGTCTTGTTTATTCTGTGACTGGCAGCCTGTGTTCCTCTAAAGGGTACACCTCTGCCAGACACCCTATTGGAAATGCATTAAGCAACCACGTCAATCGATTAATATTTAAGACGCTCTGGAATCAGTAATCATTCTCATTTTACTTACCCCTTCCTTCCTCCTAGTTTCCAAGACTTACTCCTGAAATAAGTCACAGACAGCACCAGGTACCTGCAGAACCACCTCAGCCTGGCCGCTGCTCATTTAGGTAGGTGATGTTCAGTGTCATGGCCTGAGGCAGTCCCTTCTGGGCAAACCTTTTGGTGCAAGAGGAGTCACCCACTGTACTAGAAATCAACAGTACAACCAAGACCTTTAGCACCTCCCTGTTTTCCTTCAGCGTGGTATTAAATATTAATACAGAATTTATTTCTCATGAACCATATCAATATAATGGAATCTGTTATTATAAGATGCATGAAAAGCTAATATTGAGGGAAACTTTAAACAAGCCCTTCCACATGCTTAAGGGAACATACATTAGTGTCTGACAAAACAAGAATAGAAGAGTTATTATATACCACTATTTCATAGAAATCCTGGCTTAGAGCTATTTTTTTAAATGTAGAACAAAAGCACATAACCATTTCCATGAATCTATTGTAAAGCTTCATAAATAAACTATTAATACAATCACCTTGCTTTATTCATCCACAGTAGCTATTAGAAGAAATGAACAGCTGAAAGAGTAATTACACAGCCCTTTGCAGAGTGACTGCAAGCCATACAAACCTAGTCAGCATGGTATTATGGACGCATTGATCTTACTGACAGATAGAAATATATATATATAAGGGTCCCAACTTAAGCTTTATTAAGTTTCAGAATGAAGTTCAAAGTCACTTCATGTACCCTGTTGCCAGCCTGCTGGGGTCTTAAGGTTTCCTTCCATTTCATTATCCTTTCTATTTTCAAGTGTTTTTCTTGTCTTTCCCCCACACCCCCCATGGGAAAGATCAATGTGGAGAGGAAGCTAACAGACTGCATGCAGTCAGTAAGCGAGGGCTAACAGCACATGTGAAATACTACGAGTTTGTCAATTCAGCTTCAATTTCATGATCCAAATCTTTCCTAACTTTTATGCACGCGATTCATACTCAGTGGGGTAATACATCCCTAATTACAGAAACACCCATATGCAGCAAAAACAGAGCTGTCGAGCCATTAGTCAAAAGTTCCCCATTTGCATCTTCGCCTTGCTAGGAATTAGCCTTTTTATTTACGAGCGCTATTCCAGCTGCATACAAGCAGTCATTTTTTGTTGTTGTTCTCAAGAATTCCTTACTTCTATTTTATTAAAACTTCCGTGCAGACTGCCATATGGCTTTACATTATTATTCGAGGATCTAAAACGGCTTGGGATAGAGGATTAAAACCCAGCTTCAGCCTGTGCAGTAAGTATAAACGGCCATTAGTCAGCACGTTTATTGTGGATTCTCGAAGTGTTAAAAGGACAACGCGTCAGAGGGACTTTCTTCTGCCAACCAGTTCAAAACTACCCTCCTGCAAGAATG